TTTTTTGGAACTCATAGTGTTATACTTGCACTCCCCCTTTGTCCTTTTTGACGGAAGCTACTGTGTACAGAGAGAGGGCATTTCATCGGCTCGAGCGTTGCTCCTGTGCTATGCGACATTTACCTAGCGAAGTTCGATAGGTCTATGGAAACGGCATTGTGTCAGCAGGTGTGCAAGATATACAGATATGTGGACGATTATCTGGTGTTCTTAAGGGATGTCGGCAGATTATCTTTGCAAAATGTTGTAGATGATGTAATGACCGTTTTCAAGCGCTGCTCTCCATGCCTAAAGTTCACTTACGAACTGCAAGACGGTCTGTACTTGCAGTTTGTGGATTTACGGCTGCAATTCACTGGGCAACATGCGTGTTGGCGCTGCAACCCGCGAACCAAGAAGGAAACCCTGCCATACGATTCCGCCCACTCTAAACTTGTGAAACGAAACATTGCCACGTAATGTCTCCAAGCTTCACTGTACAGGTCCTGTCACCATGCCATGCTTGACAGCTATGAAGCTCAGGGCAAGCGACTTTTAGGAGCAGGATTTCCTCTGTCCGTTTTGCGTGGTGTCTCTCAGACACTCTTGAAAAAAAGTCAAGAGCGGTTTTCAGGAACCAAAAGTAAAGCCTAAACAAAGGCCTCAGGTTGTCCCATATATACATAAGGTTTCACATCGTTTAAAAAAGTGGCTAACCGGTTCAATGCGTAAATGGTTTTTCGGCGCCTCAAAGATTAGCACAACTTTGCCCGCGCGTAAACCAGGCAAGCAGTAACAAGATGTCATGTACGGTTAAGCATGTCAACAAGTTCGTGGATTGCGTTGTGGGTGTCATCTACAAAATTCTATTGTCATGCGGACGGGTTTATATAGGACAATCGGGACGCTGCGTCAACGAGAGAATGCGTGAGCATGCAAATTCCCTGCGATCAATGACAGGAGGTCACTTATATGTACATTGCAGAGACTGCCAGTGTCACCCCGGCTTCCAAGATACCTTAATCATTGGCAGGGGGCGCACAAAAGTGCAAAGAGAGGTGCTGGAGAGGCATGCTATCGAAAAAGCTGCATGGTGCGGGGCACTGCGTTAGCCAGCCTCCGGTTTATCTGCACAAAAAAGAGATCAATTTTATAGATGCATGGTAAGCGACACGCCATTGGTTGTTTTCGGCGTTGGTTGGCTGTGTGGTGTTTTCCTGTTTGAGCCGTTTTTAATAAAACTTCAGTTGATCGTCAGCGCTTGTCCTGTGCTCTTCTGTCGTTGTCTTCGTGTTCCCTCGCCCGGCGTTTCCTTTATCTGTACTGCACGCAACTCCTCGTGACACGGAATATAGAGTGATGACATCTTTTGGGACAGCAAGGGCCGACTTTTCCGGACCGCGGTCACCATTTTGCCTCCTGTTTCCTGACCCGCACAGTAAACAAATACATTCTTGAAGGAACGCGTGGCGTTGCGTTATCTTAAAGTTACACCGCGTCATTTCGCAAGTGGTGAGTAGTGCTCCATAACTGCATAAACAACTCATAAACCGCTGCATAAAGTGGGAGGCAAGATGGTGACTTCGCTAGCAGACGACTGAGTGGTCACCGTGCACTCTGGGAGGGCCGCCAGCCCAGATTGGGGCACTCTATATTGAGTTGAAGGTCAAGGCACGTAAAACGCTACCTTCCCGTATCTTTGCCTTTCGTCTTCAAAATTTTCCTTTCATGTCACTCTCGAGTAGTTTCAGGACATGGTTAATTAGAGTCATGGGCAGCTCAAGAAGTGCGGGCGGGGCGACCCGTCTTCTTATCGCTCCACGGCCAATAAAATTTCGGCATGAAAACGCTATAAAACGAGCAAAAAAGCGCGAATATAAGAAGACCCGACCAGTGTTCCTTCAGCTCTCAGCGACTAGAATACCAAGAATGATGCTTCGGCTTTCTCAAAACTCGTATCAAACATGCTTTTTCTGAATGTTGGGTAGTGTCTGCGCGTATGTTCTGATGATTAGTGAGACAAAACGGACTCACACCATTTCTTTATGCTTCGCTTCAGCTTACGTTCAGACGCAACCGACGCTACGAGCTGAGGACACCAATCAAACAGTGCCCAAGGCGGAAGTCACTGGGCTTTCTCTGTACATGATTGATGCCGTCAGCTGGTAGCGTCGGCTGGGTGGAACGAAGTGGTGAAATCGGTAGTATGGTGAGCCATCCGATACGTTATCAATTCGTGCCGTAGCTTGTTTTTCTTGTCACTACAGACGCAATCGCAGCAAGAAATGCAATTCCCGCGACACGGTATCATGCGACAGCGCCACGGGACGCTACTCTTGTCCCGCCGGTTACCGCGGCGTCACGTGCGAACTGTGTGTACGTAGACCACCTCACTTATAACACCGTCTTGAGTGCAACTTACCTACGCACTTCAGATAACCACACCTGAAGTTCTGTGTTCAATGCGTTGACATCTCTTGTCTTGAGGTATTTTGTTATCAGTACCCCAGGCAAAGTATCGAACCTGGTAAGCTCCACTCCCGGCTGCGCGTACCCTCGCACGAAATATTCCTTCGACACCCAGACGTGCGTAACCTCTGTGAATGGAAGAGTAACGCCATTCCCCCTCTCCCATCCTTTCTCTCCATAACTGCACGACACCATTTTTGAGCGATGGCACTGGCGAGGAGGTATATTTTGAACAATGAGTCCCGTAGCGTTTACATGGCTTCCAAAGCACTGGTAACGAAAAGTAGTTCCTTTGCTGAGTAAACTCGTATGCCCAAAGACAGAGGACGAACACGAAGGTGTTGATTCTTTCGTTGTGCATTCAAGTTTACGCAGGAGTCAGTACCATGAACCCATTAGTCTAACAATGTCTTGCTGAAGTTCCTTTGGTTGTGAGGCAGCTACCTGCGATAATTACTGTAGCTCAATATGATACTAAGTGCAATAAGTGATTAACTGAGCGTATAGTCCAGACCGCCCAGTTGACTTCCACGCGACCATGTGAGTGAGAATAATGAAACACACGAAAATAAAAAAAACGCACAATTAGTCTGGGTTATTGCTGATCCGAGAAGGCTAGCATAGGTGGCCACCTTGGTCTTGAGGCCCCACTTTTCCTGAAGCCTATTCCCCATATAAAGATCAGGAACAATTCGATGAATTGCATAATTTCATTGATACAAGTATGCGGTGCCACGAACCCGTTGCTACTTGACGGCCCTTACGCCGTCAAGAAATGCTTAGTCGTCGGCTTTTATAGCGAGCTGCGAAACGCATAGAAGATGCGTTTCGCTCATCCACTTCACACAATTGTCTCCTCCCCCTTTAAGGGGTATTCACACGAGGGAGAAATCCCGGGGATTTCTCCCCTACTCGCGCATCACGCGACGAAAACGTCAGACGTTTACAATGCTGCGCTATGACGTCAGCTACGAGGCGGAGGGAAGGAGGGATGCTCGGGCGGCACAAATGATCCTGGTTTGGAGGCCGATCAGTTTGGTTTCAATTATAATTCGTCGTTAAAATATTTGCTGTCAAATGTAGAGCTCGCTACATTCGTCCGCGGTGGTGTCAAGTGTGGAAACCGCTCAATTGGACTGCCAAACGCTGACATCTCTCCCCCCGGTATCTCGGCGAAGTGCCGGGGGGAGAGACTTCACGCTCAGGAAGAAATTGCCGCCTGCTGTCGACGTCACGCATATCCCTGCATCACGCTTATCCCCTCGTGTGAATACCCCTATATCTGTCTGAGGACGTATTCAAATTCGAGACGTGGTTGCGTCCTGAGGGTTAGGTAGCATATTTTCCGCTCTTCACGGAGAGCAACCGAGGGAGAGGAAACGACGAGGTCGCCTGGCGTCGTCAGAATGCCAAGCTCAAATCGGAAGGATGGTGGGTAGGGGCCCACTGCCTCCTTCCAAGCAGAGTGAACAAGAGTGTCTCCTGCTCTTCACACAGTGTGTCGCGTTTGAACGCCGGACGCTTGCATTCAGCGTTGGAGCAGTGATTAGAGACAAAGGCACTTAGCCTTGGCGTCTAACAACTATAGTCAGTTACAGGTTAAGAAAATATTTCGAGAGAAAAGAAGGATGGGGAGGAGGAAGCAGACGGAACGCTGGAGAAAGGAGGTTTTCTCCTCTCCTCTCTACTATTCCATTCCGCCGCACGAAATAGTTCTTTCAAGATGTGGTTGTCGGAAGAAGCGATGCCCTTCAATCTAATTCAATTTAATTTTACTAGTTTTTTTTTTCATAAAAGAAGCGAGGAAATAGGTGCAAAAAGCAGTACAAGAAATGCTTGACAGAGCATTTCTTGTACTGCTTGTACCTCTCCTCCCCTACAGCAACAGCAGCACTTTATTCACCAAAAAAAAACAGAATAAACAAAACAAAACAAAGCCTAATCATCTGACTTCCATTGTTCATCCTGGTGGTGGGAACTGTCCAAGTGCCGGCATGGCGTATGGAATACCAATGAAGTGAAGAGCGTTTGAAACATGTACGTCTTGATAAGAAAAGGCATATCTAATCTAAAATGCACCTACGTATATATTAATTCTCGAAGTAAAGGGGGAAACTAGTAATGCTCTGCAAGAAGTGAAAATTTTTTAATTTTTTTTTTTTTTTTTTTTTTTTACGGTTTTTGAGGTGAGAACGGGTATAGAGGCACTAAATTAGCTACGCCTCGGAGTAACGGCACTTTAGTCATCTTGGCGCTTTGTTGCAACTTATATTATGCTTTATCTGACATAGTAGGAAATGGTCTTCCGACCCCTAGAAGCGTTCAAACTGTACTCGACAGAGAAAAATCATCCGAGCTTCCCGGCACCGTATACGTTAAGCTCAGGAAGTCATATTTGCAAATCACCACGATCACCAATGCTGCCCGCTCGGCAGTATGCACTAAAATGGCGGCGCACACGAGAGAATCGGGGAATGGCGTGCATATACTCTAGGCGTAGCCTATTTGGCGGCTCTTCTCGTGGCGTTCACTGCGTTTCTCTTTTATCGCAGCGTGCGCACCCGGCAGCTACGGACGGGACTGTGCCAAGCGGTGCAACTGCGCCAACGGAGCCGACTGCGACCACGTCACGGGCCAGTGCCACTGTACGGCAGGATGGCACGGCCCCCGCTGCACCCTGCGTATGTATGCGCACCACCGCGCGGCCTTGACGTCACGCCGCTGCGGTGACGCTGTTGTCGGCGCGGCGTATGCGCAAACGCGAACGATCGTTTCTGCGCACTCATACAGTGCGCAGTGCACAGTGCGCAGTGACGCAGTGCCAGTACCTGGCGTGAGCAAACGCCGACTTCCGGCCGCCATGACAGGGGGAGAGATCTTTAATTCTGACATGCATGCCCACGGCCGGTCTAGAGCGGTGAGGCGCGCGCTCTTCTTACGGCCTTCGCACGGGGGGTGGTTTCTCCCTGTCGCCGCAGCTCGTGGGGGCGCTACCGCCCTACCCCTGCCCTCCGTACGAGGCGCGCTTCGCGCTCGCGCGTTTTCTGTGCCACCGCGCTTCGTACGCTCCAAGATCGAGTTTTAGAAACTACTGCGCTTGTTAGAAGAACTCCACGGCAGAAAGCCGAATACCCACGGAGATATTTATCTTTCTGCTTTATATATATATATATATATTTTTTTTTTTTAAATAGGCCAATTACTACGGGAGGTGTCGCGCTTCAGCCGCAACAAATCTCGAACGTGAAAGTGATCATGGGCTGTAGTGCTTATAACATCAATCTTTTTCTATGCACGCTATTGTAGCAAACAAAAAATAAAAACACAATCGGACTGCCATTTTGGGACACATAGTAACAATGTACCGTGTTTATTCACGCTAAACAAGTAGGCTTTCTGAAGCAGTACGCCACGAAAATTACACGAGGCAAACTTACAAGTTTACAGCCTGAAATGCTTTCTCGGCGGCTTATGTACATAGGCAGACGGCCTGTCATTATTGTCCGTAACCTTTCTTGCATAGTTAACGAGAAGGATCCTGACCAGCTTTTCAGAAATCAAACTAGCCGACCGCTTGGCGTGATTGTTGTCGACACCTTCTGGGCAGCTCAGGATGGGCGAGTCAACAAGATATGGTTCAATCAGTACTTGCAGGGATCGGAGAACATTTGCCCGTGGCATGTGCTTCACTGCTTTTTCAAAGAAGGACACTATCTTGTCCAAGAGAGCAAGAAACTCTGGCTTTGGGTAATAGAGTCCACTACTGTCTTGACATTGCACAAGCATAAACATGGGGTCATTTTTCTTGCTTGTCGTCAGAAGCATTACACAAGAATCACATCCAAAGTCACTGATAAGCTTCACAATATAGCCACCGACGTACCCAAGTCCAGAGTATGTCACAGAGCGTGAAGGAGCACCGGGATGTTCTCTTAGGCCTCTGAGTTCTTCAATTAGTGCAGGTGGTAGAGCTGGAGCGAGGTCTTCGGTGTCAGCATCGGGTATCTTGACTTCCCCTGCAGCAGGCAGAGTCTTTTCTTTCACAATGTGATCTAGAGCCGCCGTCACAGCCCTTGCATCGAGCATGTCATTGCCACCACACACGGACCTTATTCTCCCAAAAAGTGCTTCGATGGGGTCGCTGTTAAGCTTTCTTGTCAGGACGAAGTTGGCGCCTTTTGCTAGAAGGAACTTTGTTGTCTCCACAGTTGACTTCGTGCTAAAAAGCAAGGCTTGGAAGGTCTCATCTGTGAAAGCATTCATTCCTGAAGCCACGGATGTTTCCTGGATGCCCTTCACGTAGCATGGAAACTCGTTTTCAAGCCACACGAGTCGAGGGTCGTCCTTCGTTGAGATGGGTCTTTTCTGTGCACTTCCTGCGTAGGTCGTGTCATGAATGTCAAACCATTCCTTCATTGTCTTCATGAAACGAATGGTAAGGCTTGCGTCTTTGAAAACATAAAGAGCAGGATCACCGCGTGAGTTTCCTTGAAGGTGTTCTAAGGCTGCAATTACCTGTGGGGAGAATATTTGCACGGCACGAAGCACATTCATCTTCTCTAGGTTTGATGGGTATACATGCTTCCTTGTCAAGTTCCGTGCCAGTTTGATCGTCATGTCCTTTTGGTAATCATAAAGTTTTTGGACGAACATACCACTGACGACACCTGAGCCATCGGTAAGCTGGCGTTCGAGGAACTGGCTTCGGACGTTCTTGAGAATGTGGCAAGGGTCAAAGCTCAGGAAGATGATTCGGTCATGATCATCCGGATGGTTGACAACTGTTGACAGGCAGCCATTTCCCATGTGCTTGAACATCGTCGTGTTTGCGGAATAATTGTCCGTCACAATGCGAACGACCACGAACCCGCACAACTCCACAGCTGAGATGACTTCCTTGGTCCACGTAAGGAGGTCTCTTCCACTCAGCTGCCTCGTGAAATAGTAGGAGCACGGTATCCTGTACGAGCTAGTAATGCCATTGAGGACGAAGCATAGGACCCTGTTTGCGAGTGTTTCTTTTGAGCTAGAGGGCGTACTGCTATCCGGTTTGTCCCTGAGGCCAAACACTGCATCACCTTTCCTGTCGTAAATGCACTTAGGCTTTATGGCAGCCTCGTCAATGATTAATGACGCCATGTGCTGCTTGCTGCTGAGCATTGAGGCTTCGTGAATCAGCCTTTCCTTTATGGCGGCACTCATTCCCGATGATGTCGGACTTGGGCCTGTGTATCTCTGAAGAGCACTTTGCTGGAAGTGTCAGAAGCTTCGATGCTCGAGCATGATCATAGCCTTTAGGCGAAAGAAATCGCCATATCACACATTCTCTGATGATCTCTTCGGGGTAGCTTAGCCGTTTCTTCCCGTAGCTTTTTATCTGGTGAAGAAGAAACAGCGCCTTTTTTTCTCCCTTCTCCGAATCTGCAGCAATCTTCTTGACAGAAGTGTACCGCTCATCTTCACGATAGAAGCTGGTCACTTTTCTTTCGGCAGCGAGCTGTTGCAGAAGCTTCCCGCTCTTGGAGCGGTAGTAGGCGACCTGACAGCGAAGTCTTCCGATCATGGAAAGATAACGGCTTGCTCTCTGAGCGTCATGGTTTGTCGTTTGTGTGCAAACACTAGGTTTCTGGTCGGGAACGCCGTCCGACGCATCGCAAACGTCGTGCGAGTATTCAGCTGTTTCGGCTTTCCGCTTCGTTGGTTTCCGAGGGGGTAGGGAATCGCGAGGTACAGGGTCCTTGCGAGGCTTCTTCGCCTTCGGCGCCAGGTAGGATGGATAGTCTTCAAAGACGGTCGGCACGGCACCCGGAAGGAGCTTTTTGACGCGGCACTCAGCAACATAGTCACTATGACGGAAATGTCTGCTACAAACGACAGTTGAGGCCGACTTGTCGTTGATAGTCAGATTTTCTCGTGAAATGTTCTTTTTCCATTTAGAACACAGTTCTTCGTCGCTCGGAAATTGATGAAAAGAAACACCTGGAGTCTTCCCGGACCGGGATTTACACAACGGCACACAGCAGTACACCATCAGCGCGATATCCGATACACGGCGTGCGATACGTTGTCCACTCAGGCAAGTCGTTCAGCCTCGTCCGCACGAAACTTTCAGCTGATCGGAATCAAGGCAGTCAAATGCGTGATCACGCATCGGAAACAAAGGAAGCATCAAAACACTCGAATACAGTTGAAGTGTGGAGCGGCCAGCGCGGCTCGGCGGCTCCGCGTGCGTTGGGGGAGGTCAGGGTGGTGGCGCCTTCACGCGGGAAGTAGTGGCGTTACACGACTAGAAAAAATCGCATTGCTCCCTCAGCGAGAGCGAAGGCCGTAAGAAGAGCGCGCCTCTCCGCTCTAGACCGGCCGTGGCATGCCCTGCACTTTTTAAGCGCTCAGTGACTTAAAACATAGCCTCATATATCGACAGAGCTTGGCAGATCGCCACGACAAGCGGCCGCCGAAATTAAAAAGGTAAAGCGGCAGACAACGGATGAGAGGAGAGCCACGTGACTGGCGCCCCGCTGCGGCGAGACACCACAACAAACTTCTCCCGAGCGGACATGTGTTTCGGGTCCTCGCCGCTGCAAATGCCGTGCGCTGACGTCCAGGTTCCCCGAGAAATAACTCTTTGATGCTCTGTGCAACCAGATCCTCGCGCTCCACATCTGCGACCGGGCACTCTAGGCTCCGTCGTCGAACTGCCAGGATTTTATAGTATAGAGGAGGTTATGGCTACAGTTATGGCGGCCTCAGGCATGCGTGGAACGCTTATTGAGATCGGTCAATTGCGCGATAGCTACGCGCTACATAAACCCGTCTTGTGCTTCTAAGTTGCCGACAAGTGCCGGCACGAACACATTCTCACGAGTGAAGTTCTTTCGATCATCTCGAGACGAGGGACGCCATCTGGCGACGCCGCCGAGCTTCTCTGATCGCAGCTAAGCTGGCGGTGCTCGCCTACTTCGATATGCTGCCGACAGATGGCGCAACGTGACAAACGCGAGGGTGCGGTGTCAGCGGCGCCTCAAACGATAGGTGCTAGCCGGGCCATTACGGCACGTATAAATGCGAGCTGTCACGGTGCTGTGTGAAAGAAACCTCGAGTACCGAAGCAAGCGAGTCAAAACATTAGAAAATTGGGCATTATAGAGGCTCGCGTTGCGCCGAAGGGTACGTAAGAAAATATTTTTGAAGATTGTCCACTAAAACCAAGACCCAGTACAGCGACGCCTGCGGCGAAGCTCGGCCGACTTTCTCCAGCGCCTGAGCGAGGAAGGTGCCTATGGCAGATGCCTTGCCGTTCATGAAGTAGTTGAACCCGTTTAAGGGCTTGCAGGTTTCAGGTCGTTCTCAGGTACATGGACCAGGTGGCTTGAATAGGTAGTCCTAAAGGTACGCCTACGATACCGTCGGCAGCTTTGTCATTTCCTTGAGGAACAAGTCATCTTGCTTTTTCAGTTAAGAGATTAGGACCGCTGGACTGACCCTCAAGCTGACGAAGTGCCAGTTCGCCGTTCCTTGGCCACGTTGTAAGGAACGAAGGTGTTCGTCCTGACCATGAGGAGACTCTGTTGTTGCGGCATTTCCACCGCCTACTGACAAGAAAACCGTCCGAAGATTCCTAGGACTTTGCGCGTACTAGAGGCGGTCCGTTCGGGATTTCGCCAAGCTTCCTGCGCCGCTC